CCCCCCCCCCCCCCCCCCTCCCCGCTGCATTGAGCCATTCACAGCTGTCATTCGTGTGTACGGAAGTACCAAGCACAAGATGCGGAACACCTCTAGCAGCGTACCCCTCCATGGGACTGGGCGAAAACCTCGCGCTTGGTGATGGTGCGACCATGTTCTGGCGAAAACCCGGCATATCGCTCCGCGGATCCTCGGTCTATTCTCTAACGGCCACGGCATGTGCTTATATGAGCACACCCCCCCCGCACTGCTGTGTTTGCGTTTCCTACCTCAGCCAGCGATTTCGACTTCCGGTGGTGATAGTCGGGGTCTCGAACGGGAACCATCCTGGGGCTGAGCGGGCCAATCAGGTGCTCAAACATGCCTCCGCCGAGAAAAGTCCGGAACACCTGCTTCGCGGTTTTTCGTTGGTTGTGTGATTCAGGTCACGGCGAAGCGAAAGCACTGACAGAAAGAGCACGAGGGGGTGGGTGCCCTCATGAATGGCTTTTCGAAAAAAAAGAAACTATTGTCCACCACGGGAGATTCTCTGTTCGAGGTCGAGCACGGCTATGTAGAACCCACTCCAAAGAGAGAGACACCAGTAAGTTAGGGTTAGGGTTAGGGGTAGCGGGGGCCCCGTGAGTTTCCACCATCGCATCTGACGTTGGAGTGGGCACTGTCGCGTGCATGGCCTGTGACAGACGATGACAGCAACATGCCACAACAGAGATGGTTCCATCACCGCCAAGATGCGGGTGTAGCAATCCACAAAAATTCTTCTGATGGCTGGGCCGGTCACGTGCAGCCTCTCGACGGGTAGGCTGGGGGCTCCGAATCGCAGCACTGTCTCGAAGAAGGGTAACTTCGGAGAGAATGGGCCTTTCAACGCCTTCTTCACGATAGATCATGCAACAACCTCCCCGTTGCGCTACTTGTTGTGTCGCGTCCCCCACCCCCCATTGTTGGCCGCCGCCGCCATGCAAACCACCGCCAGGTTCTGCTAACGTCCGCCAACGTCACCCGTTTCGCGACAGCTGCGCTAGGATCTGTGACTGGTGTTCGGCAGCGGTGGCTGGTCTGTATGTAGCAGTGACCCGCGTGACGCGGTGGAGAGAGGAAAATGAAATATCGATGTAATGATGACGTCCGGGCGTCATTGCAGGAATGACGCGTCACACCCAGGTACAACTTTGGTCACATGGACAGACCTCACTGACTAGTTCGGCATATCTCCTCAACGTCTTGGACGCATCAGGGCCTGTATCAGAACGTCGTTTCATCGAGGCTTTCTTCACTTTGCCCTCAACACCTCCTTAGTGGCAAGAGCCCCCGTTTTCTGAACTCAGAAAATTATCATTTGACAACACGTACAACTACATGGCGAAGGCCATGTACATGTAGAACTACATAGATGCGTTGAGGACAGAGGTACTCACGGCCTCCTTTGATGTAGGCATTTCTTAAAAGAAACGGAAGCCCCTGCTGAGACTAGCTGTGCTCCTTGCAGCGTCGGGTGCACTGAGGAGATATGCCGAACAAGTCAGTGAGGTCTGTCCATGTAACCAAAGTGTACTCATATGTTACGTGCGCGTCATTCCTGCAATGACGCCCGGACGTGATCAATACATGGATATTTCGTTTTCCTCTCTCCACCATGTGTGTGTGTGTGTACTCGTCCCTTCTATTCTGGCGCCGGTTTACGGGGCTTTCGGCGCATTTACCAGACGTATCAGCCGGGGTCACACACGAAGAAGGGCACACAGGAACTTGCTTGATTCCCTACTTTTCCCCTTTTGCGCGTAGTCTGCCTTAGTTTTCATCGCGAGAAGGGTTCATTCAGCCATCCCTTTCCCTCGTCGACCGTGAAGCCGAAGCTTGTTTACTCACGACCTGGATCGCTTTCAACCACGGGTTGCTGGAAATAAATCCCGGGCAAAAAATCTTCGGAGAGAGAATCGAACCCACAACCTGCCGCTGGAGAGACGTGCAGGGTTGACCAATAGACCACCACTACTAGACATGCATTCAACGAACACGTCATCCGATTTAGCTCATGAGCGTGGAACCAGTGACGATACATGAGCTGAAATATCTTTAAACCGTCAAAAATATCCGCTTACCACACCGTTTGCGCCCCGCGGAGCATCGTGGTGTCTTCGGAAAGAGGTGGAAGAGAGCCTTTTGGGGCGTGCACGGGCGTGAGTATTTTCCAGCAACGTGGAGTCTCAATAACCAACTACGATCCTTCCTTGCAAACATTCGCTCCACGACTGTTGCTGGTTCCCGAGACTACCATTGCATTGGACAGGTTCGTTGGTTCCCGAGACACGGCTTTCCTGGGAAATGTTAATCTTCGTCCACCCCCTGAAGGCTCCCTTCCACCTCTCTAGGTGTATGTCCCCAACAGTGCGGACGAATCAAGTCCTCAATCACAGGCACCGTAGGTGCCTCTCCCTCCACTTCCCGTGTCGCTTCCGACGCCCTTGGTAGCGTGAACAGCTACCCCGAATCGCAGGGACTCGAAGAGCACAAGCTCGCCTCCCTGGTGAGAGGGAGTGGAGCAACGCAGCGACAGTCGTGAAGAGACGGCTTGCCAGGAACTGACAGGTCGTCGGGTTCTCGGGACACGACAATGCTGGAAAAAAAGCAATGCCGTGTCTCGAGAACCGACGACGTGTCCGTTCCTGACCTTCTTTAGACGACTGTCCCTGCGTTGCTCGACACCCTCTCACCAGGGAGGCGAGCTGGTGTTCTTCCAGCCCGTGCGGTTCGGCAGAGCCGTTGACGGTACTGAGGGCGATGGAAGTGCCACGGCAAACCAGGGAGAGGCAACTACGGTACGTTATGAACAAGGACTTCTGACCTTCACGATGTTGGGGACATACGCCCACAAGAGGTGAAAAGGAGCTTTTCGGGCGTGAAATAGCATGGATATTTTCCAGCAACGCCGTGTCTCGAGAAACAGACCTGCCCCCGCACTGCAAACCTTTGCTTAACGACTGTCGCTGCACTCCTCGACTCTGTCAGGAGGGCTAGAGAAAATACGACACAACAACCTCTGGAACATGCAGAAAGGAAGCTGTGGAGAAAAGGGTAACAAACTTTTCCTTGCGGGAGAACATCAAGACGTTCATTCATCACAAACGAGCTGTTGCATGTGATCCCGGACCGGACCTCTTAAGCTGACAGATAGGGAGGAAACACTGGGAGAAAAAATGCGGGGGGGGGGTGGGCATGCTCCCCCCATGCTACGTAACACTTCACTGAGGCCAAACCAGGACCCCACCTCCCGGTAGACTGATGCGCGCGACAAGGTGGGCGGAGCAGGCGAACACAGCAAAATCTACATGTAGGCGTTCTAGCATGTTAGGCATGCCCGTGGCATGTTACGGCCTTTTTTCGTGTGGAAAAGAGTAGAGCTGTTGTATAGAAAAGCAGAACTAGCGGCGAGAATTATCTGAGAGACCCAACAATCAAATGCCCGGCAACAACAATAACACCAACAGCAATGGCAACACGTTTTCAATACCTCCATCGGGTCAACCCGCCGCCGTCTCCTCCCAGTCGAATCCCCACCCCCACCCCGACCCCCGCCGCCTCCTCTTTGCTCATTTTGGCTTCCCTCCCAGCTGTCCTCCTCTAGAGCAGAAACCCCTCGCCGGTGGTACTTTTCCCTTCTCTCTCCATACCCCATCAAGGCACAAAAAACAAAAAGTCGCGAATCCAGTGAATGAGGCGTGAAGGGGACACTATTTTCTCGTGCGAGAACTGAACAGGAGGAAAAACGGAGAGAACACAGACTGCGGATACCGAGAGCAGTCCGTCGTGTGCGGTTGTTGTGCCAGCTGACGTCACTGCATCCCCACTACTAGCGTAAGGGTATCAACGTCTCCTGGGGGCGGGGGGGGG